ATAGAAATTATAGAATATTAGCTCCATTTAAACTCCACTCTTAGCTTGGCGCCATATTGAATTTCGCGGCCGCGCTGGTAAAGGCCTGGGGACTAGGTGCTCTACCGTATCTGAAATAGCCTTCACCTTCACGGTATGGCCTTTAGTGCTTTCCCTGGGAGACAAGCCTACTCTTCTTAACAGAGCATGTGTGGATTGTAAATGCTGACGTGTGCTGAATATTAATTAGGCAACTATTAAATTAATTCAAAATAATTTTTTTTCCAGATATTTGTTGATAAGAAAAAGCTAAAGCTCCCAAAAGAATATAAGATAACTCGAAAATGATGAAACTTGTTGGCGTGTTATGAGGGCGAAAACGATGTAAATATTGTGAGCTAAGATTTTTTATTTTTCACCCTGCTCGGTTTCTTTTGTTCTTGTCGGGGAATATATTCAATATTCCCCTCTAATCAATTTCCGTTTAATAATCCCCTCTAATATTCACCTGCATTGTCTTTGCAGCACAAAAAAATGAGAAAAAAACAACATCGCGAAGGCAATATGGCATTAAGAATTATTTCTTTTCTGACTCATTAACGCGACCTCGCAGTGTGAAAAATAAGTACGTCGCAGTGTGAAAAATAAGTACTCGGGGATATGTGTTTATTCACCTCGGCGCTGCGCGCCTCGGTGAATAAATCACATATCCCGTCGTTGCCTCAAAATAACCTATACAGGGTGTATAAAAAAAAACGCAACCTCGGAATTTCCTAAGAAATCACTTTGCAATTCTTAAGCATAAAAGATTTTAGGCCCCTGGGAATTGAAATCGAATTGCTAATAGATCATATTACTGTTGTTGTGCATTAAATAAATGCATAAATTTTGCTTTATGCACTCGCGTGTGCAGTAATTTTGACAGTCGTGCTATTTTAAATTCCCAGGCGCCTAAAATACTTTGTCTTTAAAACAATGTCGATTTCTTGGGAAATTCCGAGGTTGCGTTTTTTTTTATACACCCTGTACTGTACATATTGACATCATGACATGAATTCCCCGTGAAAAAATCTTTTGAAATTTTGCTCATTATAATATTAACAGTACAATGAAGCAAGTCAACCGGACGATATGTTATTGGATGATAGCTAATGCCAAAAAAGTCATTGTTCCTCTCTGCACAAGTTTGCATAAACATGCATGGTTGAAACTGAAGCCAGAGCAAAGACTGCGACGACGATTTCAGGCCATGATTATGTCTACAACAGCTTGACATGTGTGTGTGACAGATGTAAAGGCATCAAAAGAAATTCATATTTGCAAGGGGGATGTTGTAGCAGAAAATTCAAGAGGTTAGCACAGTTTACGAGGTTGGTACGTTTAAAATTCAACTATTTAAGCTGTGAGAGTTGACAAGAATTGAAAAGCGAGTCTGTTTACATGCATGCAGCTCGAGAGTTCAAAAGTGGGGTGGAAGTTGATAAGTGACGGCTGGGTATTACAGGTAAAACGAGCAAAAACTTTCATTAACTATATCATTAATATTTTAAACAAAGTCGATTAGGGTTGATGAGAGTCGGTGACATGGCTGGCGGTTAAACGCGAGCAAGAGTTGGAATTCTGGTGCTCGTTTGAACTCCTTCGGACTTACTTGATTGCCATGCAAGCATTAAAAGAACTTATCAATTCACAATTCATGGAAAAATGATCCCCTATAGTCTTAAGTCAGGCCTGGTCTTAAGTGGCGTATACTTGCCAATACTGTCAACAGCTAAATGTAAATACCGTCTTTCAATTCGTATGCGGGCAAAAAGCACGGCACGCGTGCATATGATCATTGATCATGCATGTACAAAATAGGATAACTCGATAACTCCCGTTTGGCAAAATGCTGCGAACAAATACAAGCGTTGAAGAGTATTCATTAAGACATAAAACACTTCCGTTGTGTATTTCATGCTTAGTGATTGGAGCTGTGTGGTTGAAAATGCTATTCTTCAGAGGACCAAGATAATTGAATAAGCTGTATATAGTCGTTTTCAAATCACGATCTGTGCAGATCAAAAGCTAGCTTAGCCTATGTGAATTCATTAAACGTGCTTGGTGTTTCCAGAAAATAAAAGTAACCAGTGATATTCATTTTCACCGTGTGAACATATATATATAGTACAAATAATAGTTAATACTAAAATAACTAAAATACACTGAAATTTGCAACATATTAACTTAGTCTTATTTAAACTAAGACAACATTTCACATAAAAGAATTTAACACAAAAATACATTTTTCTAAATCTCAAGAATTGTATTGGTTATACATACAGTACAGTATAGTTTATTGATTTCATTTTCAGAGTGAATTAACTTACGAAATTAATATCTGAATGGCTTTCAAAACCGGTAAATTATAAATGTAAACATTAGTATTTATACTGCCAACACAAATTCGAGTCCTGTCTGGACTACGTCAAAAAAATAACTAGAAATAATTAAAAAACAAAAATCATAAAAAAATTATGATCCTAATCAGAAACATGTAAAATCACAAAAATATTTTACCAAAAAAAAATTGTGTACCAATCAGCGGTTTAAACCGGGGGGGGGGGGGGTATGGGAGTATCATGCAGGTATGCCCACGGGATTTGACACTTTGTCAATTTGCCCAGTCGGGAGGGCTACCTTTCTTGGTCAAAGTATGTCAATATTTCTGACCCAGAGTCGTCTGGTGGAAACAATGACCTAAGGCACCTCAGAAATAGCAGAATTCTAATAGCAAAAAGAGTTTACTGAAATTTCCACACAATTTCCATCATTTTTCTAATCCATGAAAAATATCCATTTCACTTAAAAAATGCCATAAAATATGGAAATGGGTCTGAGAGTAGAAATCATTCCCCCCTCGTTCCAGACATCAAAACAAAGAAATGGCGAAAAATCACGGAAATCAAGGAAAATTACAGAAAAATCACAGACGATATGCTGTAGTGATGATTAATCATCCAAGGGGAAACAGGTCTCGTCAAATACTATGCATGGGTACGCCCGTTACTCCCAACTCCCCCCCCCCCCTCACCTGGGGCAAACTGCTGAGTGGTGCATTAATGTTCCAGATCAAACTACACTCAAGTCATGCATAGCACTATTAAGAAATAGTCAGGCAGATGAAAAAACTCACCAGCCCAATCAGGGGGCATTTCTATTTTGCCTTCATCTTGTGCCTTTAAGGCTACCAAGTACATTTATGTATGTCGGCGGGCATTCATATTTCTTGCGGCCTTTTGCCAACACATTTTTCTTCAACACTAACCAATCAGATTGCAGAACAAAAATAGAAATCGAATCAAACTACAGCTCGTTCAATCAAAAGAAAACACGGAGTTCGCTTCAGGAAGCCATTTATAATTGCATTGTTTACTTTTCAAGTCTATTTATACCGTTTGACATTCGTTCAATCATTTCATTTGTTAAAATTGTTTTTGGCATAATGCTGATTGGCTAATTCGCCGTTTGTTGATTTTTCTATTTTGTTCTGCAATGTTGTTCTCTGAGTGGCCCCACTTACTGTAGACGCTCTGTAAACATGGGCGTACCGGAAGGAAAAAATTAGGGGGGCGGAAAGAAATTTGCCCGACCTTTTCGGACTGTGCCCGACCAGTGCCGAAATTTTTTTTTCCCGGAACAATTAATTTTAGCGACCTCACCCCCC